CACAGGATCACAGAGAGGAGCTCCAGAAATCCCTGAAGCCCTTACAGGAGAAACTGAAGCTCTTTGAACAAGTTAAAGGAAACTGCGATCAAACAGCAGAACACATTAAGGTCCAGGCCGGAGACACAGAGAGGCTGATTAAGGAGCAGTTTGAGAAGCTTCACCAGTTTCTACAAAAGGAAGAGGAGGCCAGGATCAAAGCTCTGAGGGAGGAAGAGAAGCAGAAGAGTCAGGTGATGAAGGAGAAGACTGGGGCTCTGAGCAGAGAGATAGCAGCTCTTTCAGACACAATCAGAGCCACAGAGGAGGAGCTGAGAGCTGAAGACGTCTCATTCCTACAGAACTACAAGGCTGCAGTGAAAATAACCCAGCAGCGCCCCCTGCTGGAGGATCCACAGCTGGTTTCTGGAGCTCTGATAGATGTGGACAAACACCTGGGCAACCTGGCCATCAACATCTGGAACAAGATGAAGGAGGTGGTCTCCTACACTCCTGTGGTTCTGGATCCAAACTTTGCAGTCTCGATTTTGGAGAGTATTGTTTTCCAACAGTAAGTTCACAGTGTTCTCCACATCAGGCTCAGAGAAAGATCTGCCACTGAAGAAGCAGCCCCGGAGGATTAGAGTTCATCTGGACTTTGACAGAGGAAAGCTGTCGTTCTCTGATCTTGATACTAACAGACGCATACACACATTCACACACACGTTCACCGACACCCTGTTTCCATATATTTACACTGAGAACAATCTCCCACTGAAGATTTTACCAGCAACAGTCTCTGTGACAGCGGAAAAACATAGTTAGAGACTATGATGAGGGTGCACAAACTACATTTCGAGCACTACTTGGTTTACGAGGGAGGACCGAATCATGAGGATAATATATGATTTGAGCAAGCAGCAGAGATCCTCCCTTGCTATCAAATATGTCTGCTCCTACAAATCTATGCTTGCCTGCTCTCAAATTCTGATTAGGAAGCTGCAGAGCACCCGGCTTGTGTTTTGTGCACTTTCAAATGTTTTGCCGCTGTCAGACTTTCACACAAAACCCAGTGGAGAAATCTGAGCATGCAAACTCAGAAATAATGCATGGCCAGGATTACGCTCCCAAATCTGATTGTGCACATGCAAATGCTGAGTTACAAATTGAATAGTGCTTGAAATGTGGTTTGTACACTCTCTAATATGTCAGCAGGGATTTACTTCCATAAAGATCACTGATTGAATCAACAAATGAATGAACAGATAAGTAAATAAATCAAAAAGGACACTTTACTGGTTTAGGAAACTAATGGCTTTTTACATCGATGGAGCACCAAACCATTTCAGAATAAAATTAAAATAATGACATTGTGAGATACATAATCATCTGAATAAATACAAACAAGATGTGTATGTGACAACATGTCAAAGTGAAACAAAGACAGATTTTGTAAAAATTACATTTTGAATTGCCTGTTTGTTTGCTGGTTAATACTGCTTATTTTGTTATATTACACAGCCTTATGCTGGTTTACTGTTTACTTGCCCCTTGCATGGGGATATGTACATACATGTACCAGAGACAAATTCCTTGTGTGTCTGACACACCTGGCCAGTAAAGCAGATTCTGATTCTGGGATAAAAACAGCTTGAATTGGCCAAATTGACTCAAAATGACCAATAAATTATAGCAAAAAGAAGCAAGATGAATTAACATTTCACAATGACAGTTTTAAAATGTCCTATATCCAATAAATTATTTGGTGTGTGGCCAACATCATCCACATCATCAATCAGCCAATCATAAACACACTTTCTGAGCGGCCTCCTCACACCAACAGGTGAGTTAAAGGGTCAGTTCACCAAATATGGAAAACTCCCTGAAAGCACAAAATACAAGGTTATCTGTAAATGCACTGTCATCAATAATAGAACAACAAAAATGTCAAAAAAGCTCAGACAGTCTTATTGAAGCATTTTTGAGGAAATGTTCTCTGTATGTTTTTGTTTGGTACTAAATGATTTCCTGATTTTCATAATGTGCCGCCTATATTAAAACAACACAGCCCACCTTTTTATCCTGAATTCATCTGTTTTTGCTGCAGTCTATGAATGTCAGCCATTTGATTTCCTTCATCTACCTCTGTCCCGTTTGCTGATAAGACAATTGGAGAGATTCTGACTAAAGATGGAAAATACAACCGCTTCCTGTCTCTGGTTGATGTGAATAATTTGTTCTGTAACATCACACAGGGGTACACCCTGGACCTTCTGTCACAGGGCTGACACACAGGATCATCACATCATAGTAGATTGACAGTATAATAGACAATCGGGACAAAATTATAGATTGTAAATAGAAGTCAGGTAATTGTTGTTACTAACTTTCACCACAAGAGGGTGTCATACAAATACTGTAGTGCAGTGCTGAGAGGACTGATGGAGAGAAATGTGAACGAAGTCCAACAGTGACTGTGTTTTTGAAGAACGACACACTAGAAGACGAAAAGCTACTGAAAGAACAATAAATGAAACTATAGAAAACCTGAGAATCATGGGATAAATCTCAGACAGTGTTAAAAGACAAATGCCCCTCTATAGAAACAATTATAGCCTATAAATAAGTTTATACACTGTGTGTGTGTGTGCATATGTTTGTACTGTATATGTGTATGCTGTAAATGTATGTGTACTCTATGTATATTGTATAATACTGTATAGTATTGTACAGTATTATAATCCTAGTAGGACAGTGATGGAGAGTAGAAAGGTACTTAGCATGTTATGTTATGTCTTCTGATATTTCATGGCACCATAACAACCTGTTGTGTCCTGATGCTTTTCTCTCTCTTTTCACTCACCCCACCCTGTCGAGGCAGAAGGCCGCCCCCTGAGAGTCGTGGTCAGGCAGAGGTTTCTTCCATTAAAGGGATGTTTTCCTCCCCACTGTCACCAAGTGTTTGATATGGGGGATTTGTTGGGCTTTCCTTATAACAGTGTCACGTCTAGACCTGATTAATTAAAGTGTTCTGAGACAACTGTTGTGAATTGGCGCTGTACAAATAAACTGAATTGTTTCTGAAAAGGATATAAAGTTATGAAATACATGTATAATATAGTATTTCGCTCCAATGTTTAGTGAAGTCGAAGTATGAAGAAGCAAAAAAAGAAGGAAATTCACAAGTAAACTACAAATACTTTAAAATGTACTTAAGTACACATTACTTGAGTACACGTAGCTACTTCGTTACTTCCCACTTCCACACACCTCTTCTCTTCTCCTGTCGCTCAGAGTTGTTCAGACCGGAGGGAGGAATGGCGGCTCTTCGGAGTTTCTTCATCTTTCTCCCCGGGTTGTTTCTGGTTTTACATTCCTCCTGTGGATCTACGACCTCGGGCAACAGAAGAACAAACCAGGAGCGATGCGGATTCAAGGTAAAAACACAAAAGAGCTTTTTACCTTGTACCTTTTCCCGTGTTGTATTAACGTTTAGCTAAAGCTGCGTCGTCTCCAGTGCCCAAAAAGTTCCGTGTTCGTTTGTTTCTGACACTTCTGTTGTTGATGTCGGCTACTAGTAGATGAAATCAACTTCTGATTGACGGTATCCAACAGTTCCGTTTAAACAATCTTAAATTCGCAGAATTTTAAAACTGCGCCAGTCATGTGTTACCTTTCTTACCTGTCCGCGCAGCTACAGCACCGATTCAGCTCGTTTATACGTTTAAACCAAACCCCTATGTTAAAAGCGCCGATTTAAAGATCACTCTCCAATTAGCAAATTGCAGATATTATGAAACTAACTTTAAATATATTCCGAATATGTCGAGGGTCCTGATGAATTCGGTGCATATGCAAGCGTTTATAGAGGACTTCAATCCAGTAAAATCCCAATTTATATAACTGATTCACACCATTCCCTATCTCACCCCGCGACTTTGTTAACGATAAACTAAACGAAAATAAGAATGATATTTTGTATTTGGCATATGTTCAGTTGAAAATTGGCTTAGATGTAATTTATTGACTTTGGAAACAACTTGTTTAAACTGTAGTTGACTGATCCCATGCTGAGACATTAATGTTGACTATGTCCTTAAAGTGAGACTATTCACGCTCCTGTCCTGTCCTGTCCTGTGCACACATAGACTAAACTTCATCAAAGAAGATTGTAGTTAGACGTTTCTTCTGTTTGTAGCAAATCTTATCATCTTTAAACATTTTTAATATCTCAGATATATCTTTGCTTATTTTTGGCACATGTCCCATATCCCAGCAGCCCAGGGTGGGGGTTATTTTTGCACACCAAGAAGCAGATCAGGTTATAAAGCATAGATGTTTGTGAAATAGCCTCTGCATGGTGCTGAATTTAATTATTTCAGGAGGACAAAACACTGAGCTTCCATTTCTTTCCAGCTGAGTTTTCTGGTTTAGGTGAATTGTAAGTAGTAAAGCTGATTTCCTGCCTTTTGTGTTCTGTTGAAAACATTTGATGTGGTGAACAGACCCACTGCTTCCACACTGCTGTTCTGCTTTTTCACTTCACAGCAGCTCTGTTTCTGGCCACAAATCAACCAACATTCCAGATCAAAATGTGTGGACTTTGTTGAAGCTTTTCTTTTAGCAGTCATCAGACATCTCAGAAGCTTTGACAGGAATCCACAGTATCCTGTAATCTCACTCAGACTGTTTTGGACAGGGTTTTAAAAAATGATGAAGGGCAACTTTTAAAATAAATATATAGTTTTGGCTGTAGATTCTGTTTAGCACTGCAGCCAAGGAGCATTTTTATTATTGAGTAATGCACTGATTATTTTCTTAATACTTTAAAACATTAGAAAATAGGGAAAAATGTTCATCCCAGCTTTACCAGCTTCAGACGTCTTGTCAAACCAACTGTTTAGAGCATAAATATATTTAGTTTACAAATATTATATAAAATAGACAAAAGAAGAAAATCTTATCTGGTGTGTTTTTATAATTTGGCATTTTCTCTCAGCCTGTTTTCTGCCCAAAAACTATTTGAAAATCTCTGAAATGTCAAAGTTGTACATCTCAACTTCAGTGTGGGAGACTGGTTGTTAAGTTCTTACACAGACAGTGATGGGATGGACCATGCCGTCGTGGATTAGTCCCTGTTGCTCCCATTCACAAAGAGACCTGGGTCAGCATCACTGCTAAACCCCAGACTCGTTCAAGAGCAGCGGCGAATCTTCACTTCAATTTCTGGCAATTTTGATTTGAAAAATTACTGAAATGGTTAATGATTAATCAATATTGTGTCAATCAACTAACGCAGAGGCAATAGTGACTGAATGCAGGAATATGCTTTGGATAAATGATGTTTCCTGCCTCCAACAGAGGAGCAGTGAAGCTGCCCTGGAGGCACTTTCCTAAAAAGTCTGTGTTGGTCACTTTATGTTTGTGATGTGGAAAGTAGAATTACCTGATTCAATCAGTCAATCAATCACAAACTTTATTTTCAAGTATGTTAAAATGCAAGGAATTTGGCTTCAACTCAGTTTAAATGGCCCCGATGTGAACAAATAAAACAGAAAAAGGTAATAAAAAAACAAGAAGTCAAACAACCATCTATTTCTAAATATGTGCATATAAACAAGTTAAAAATGATCGAGTGTGTGAGTGCACATGCTCTACAGGTTTTAATTTTCCTGTGTTGATAGATGACTCCTACCTGCCTTTGATGCTCTGTGTGTGTGTGTGTGTGTGTGTGTGTGTGTGCGCATCCTAGTTTCCTCTCTCTGGCTTTGAAGAGTTTTCTGCAGGAAGCTTCACACTGTTTACTCTGCTGAAACATTCCTTCCTGCAGCCCCACCCCCCAAAAAGACACACACAGTCTCGGCACCCCCCTCCCTCCCTCCGCTTCCCTCTCTTTTCAGAAACGCACACATCAAAGGCTGGATGGGGGTGTGAGGACCAGCTTTTCTACAGGTGTGAGGTTATTAGAGCGCTCTGTGTGTGTGTGTGTGTGTGTGTGTGTATGTGTGTGTGATCGATCCAGAAAGTTCTGCTAGTTTTACATGCATCACCGCATCGTGTTTGCAAAGGGCCCAAAGTGGCGTTTTGCAAGTTTAGATAGAAAAGAAATAATCAGTTGATTTAAATTCAAATATCATCTGGTTCTAAGTGAGGATTTGCTGCTTTTCTTTTTCTTATGTTATGACAAACTGGATATCTTCATGTTTTAGGGCAGAGATGCTGATTTTGGATAACTACCAGCGACAAAGGTCGCCTCGCATCGCCTTTGTGTGGGTCAAAAAGTGGCACTTGAACACACCACAGACAACAGCCAATGGCCACCTAGCATGTATGTTGTGTGCATGTATGAGAGGCGATAACTCTCCCTACCACCAGGTGGCGATATCTGTATTTGCCATTCATAAAGGGAAAAAAGAAGATTGTGAATATACAAACTATAAACAAAGGAGCTCTTGTTTAACGTGGCTGATGTTTTAGCTTCTTCTAACCAAGAATATGTCTAATAAGAAGTTGCAAATGACACTGCCATTTAGAGTGTGGATCCCTGAACTCAGCCCTATGGTTGGTACCAGAGGGTTCAGGTCCAGGTCTGGTTCAGACACGCAGGCCAAAATTTAGGCTAGACAGCTGGAGCACTCAAATGTTTGCTTCATTTAATGACAACGAGAAAAATGCTGAACAAACTCAACAGCGTTGGGTTCAGATGCGTGGCCTGATCCATGCTCTACCAGCATTGTCAGCCCTTGGTCTTTTGGTTGTGAAAGAAGAAAGAGAAACGACACTAAATGTGTGAAATCATGGTTACCACAGGTTCAAGTGGTCTTGTCAAACCTTTCGAGCAAATCGATGTAAAACGAGTTTTACATTGATTCGCTAAGCTAAGAGTGGTCTCTCTCACTGACGGGGTCCGCCTCTGATTCAACATCTGAATCAGCTGAAAAACTGCCAACAGGGTCTAACTAGTGCAGCGGTGCAGAGCACTCTGGAAAGACGAGGGTGACAGACGCTCACCAACCATCGACTTGGTGTGTCATGGGCCTTAGACTTTTGGTCTGACAGAGTTTGTGATGGGCATTTTCCACTAATTCTTTTTATAGATCAAATTAATCCATTAATTAACAATAAGCATTAAATGCAGCAATATAGACATTTTTTGTGGCATTATGTTGTCACATTTTGAGCGATTCTTAAATAAAATGTCATTGAAATTCAGTATTTAGTAGTGATGGGTAGATGAGGCGTCATGAAGCGTTTCGACACATTGCCAAACTGTATTGATACTGTGTCACTGAATACTGACACCTGCCGGACCTTAAAAATCCCTACAGGCAACCTAGTTGAC